CTTGTAAAATAAGGAACCCCATACGGCCCATACAAATCACACTGTAGGTTTTCAAAACCCACGCGCCCGCTCTTCAACTTCGCAGCATGCGCAGAACATGGCTGCAAAGGGAGTGTGGGCGGATGAACTTTGCAAATCCCGACTTTTCCAAAAACGGCTGCGGTAGTTCTGAAACCTTGCCGTAGGGTGATCATAATGATAATAAAGACAGTAGCAGTAGCAGTAATAGGACAACACTAATGACAGCAATAATGGCATGAGGCTTTAGGGTTTATTATGGTTCAGAGTTTGCGGCTGAGGGCCTTCACAAAATTACACTAATTACACATCGCAAGTCTCTTGGACTCTTCTGCAACACGGACACTACTTTGGGTTTGGGGTTTCATGGCTTCTTGTCCTTAGCGCCCACTGTCCAGCAATGCCGGGCGAGGTTTGTAGGCAAAAGGTTTTACGAAAGGGTTTCGGCCTATTTAGCGTTTTCAGTCTGATGGATTATATAGGAGAGGTTCCGGGTTGCTATGAACCGATCGGAATATCTGCAGCTTGTCCTGGAATTTGGCTGAACTACGGTTCGAATTCCAACCGGAAACCAGCAAAGGTCCGGTGCCACAGACATCTCCGTACTGGCGACATGCTCTTAACGAGGACCCTCCATGTACCGTCAAACAGGGGTGTTCAGCTGATTTCTCTTTTGCAAAGCTTGTCAAACTCCTGGGCGCGCATCTCAAAGGCAAGACTCTCAGCTCCAGTTGCTGGACCTGGGTTCATCTTGGGCTGCCCTCTCACTTCAATTCACCTAATCATCCATTCGCTGTTACACAAAGAGCCATCAGGTTTTTGTGCGCGCATCATAGCTAGACCCTAATTGCCCTAATTCCTCAAACCCTAAACTCCTAGTGTCTCTGCTGCTACGAGGCTTGGAGGTTACGGCATTAAGGTAAAGGTTCCTATACCCCTAAACCCTAAACCCTGAACCCTAAACCCACCTAAGGATCCCTCTGCAACTTGACCCCCTCCCAACTTCAGAAGCTCCGTCTCGGAGAGTCCCACGAGGACGCGCATCAAGTTAAAGCAGAAACAAGCAACCCAGGGTTTAGGGTTTAGGGCTTAGGGTTTAGGGTTGAGGGTTTAGGGTTTAAGACACACCGGAGTCCGACCGCTTGAACCAGAGCACAAACGATCAAACCACAATGCACCAGCAACCCAGGACAAGGGAGTCCGACCGCATGAGACGAAGCTCCGAGGAGCAATCCGAACCAGGCTGGTTCCTGAAACTTTTCCGCATCACGTCTCCCCTCTTCCGGTTACAGCATGTAGTCGCGAGCCTCGAGGTAAATGCACCGAGCCACGTCTGAGAGGAGCCGGGTCATGTGCAGCGCATTGGAGCTGCAAGACTCGATGATACCTGTGAGGTCGACAAGTGGTTATCTGATGAGCTCTGTCCCGGGCCCTTTACGCTTGTTAGAGATTCATGAGACTTACATTGGAGACCGGTGTTTTTCGTCACATCTCTAGCAAACCCAGAAGGGAGCTACGATGCTCTTCGATTCACACGACAAAATGAGGTGAGGAAAAGCCAAAAAAACACACCCATGAAGTCTAGCTCTCCGATTCCTAAACCCAAACCTTCCACCCTTTTTACACCTGGGCTGCGCATAAAAACCCTAAACCCTAAACCGTTCTGCCCTGGGACTGCAGTAGCTGGTTGCATCCGGCGTGATGCGGCCCAGGAAAGCCAGCGCTGCACTCCACTCCGTCGCCTAAAGCGGATTCCGGATGCCGAGCTTTGGGCCTTGTGCCGTTCAGAGGGTCCCCTAGTGACCGGAAGACCCCGGAAGTTGCAAAACTAAGGCAGGGGGGTCAAGGTGCAGGCTTGAATCCTAAGCCCTATATTGGCCAAGTTTACACACCCTCAACTTCACGCGAGGCATCCTACCGGAACTCCCGCAAGCCCTTCTCAAGGCGACCCTCAGAGGATCGCAGCCCTAAACCCTAAACCCTAAACCGGTCTCAAAGGAGCCTCCGAAGGACAAAGTTGCCATCGCCATATAATATACAACTCCGTAACACATACATACCTACGTACATTTATGCATACTTACTTACTTACTTACTTACTTACTTACGTACTTACTTGCTTGCTTGCTTGCTTGCTTGCTTGCTTGCTTGCTTGCTTGCTTGCTTGCTTGCTTGCTTACTTGCTTACCTACATACATACATAAATACATACATACAGACAGACAGACAGACAGACAGACATGCAAGGCTACATGCATGCAAACATTCATGCAGACAGACAAACAAGCGGCCTTGCTTGCTTACTTGTTTATGTGTCCAGGTTTGTGTTTACTTATTGGTTTGTCCATACAGCTGTTTCGTTATGCGTTTCCTAGTTATCTATCGTTCGCTTCGTTTCTTGATCTATATGCATCTGTATATCGTTCTCCTTTTGTTACCCGCCAAAGGAATCGCCACATGCACGGTCCGGCAACGCCCCAGGCAAGAATCCCAACCCTAAACCCTTTTGCTGCAGGCTTGCATGCAAGAACGCCTGGTAGGTAGCCACCCTAAACCCTAAACCCCCTAAACCCTAAGAAGCCAGAACCCTAAACCTTAAGAGCCCTAAACCCTAAGACCTAAGACCGAAGCCCCACCTCCGCCAGGCCCCGGAGCGCTGCGTTCGCCGCCCCCCCGCCTTTGGCGCTCTGAGCGGCTCGAAGTGCGAGTCGCCAGCGTCCGGCTGCGGGGCGCGGCTTGGGATTTCTGGTGTAGGGTTCAGGGTTTACGGCTCAAGTGCCAGGGGTTCAGGGTGTGTCTATGTCTGTGTATATATATATATATGGATGGTAGACGGCTTCGGGTAAACAGTCGCGGGAAGCCTGACAGGAGTCAGAGTTTAGGGTCCAGGGAAAGGCTGGGGCTGTCAAACAAGCATCTGCTTGCTTGGTTTCTTGCCTGGCCTTCTCCGTATCTAGTTCTCAGAGTTGCTGTGGCTTAAACTGCCTCCCCCATAACGGAGGGATAAACTTATAAACTTTGCGATTTTGCATGTAAGGTGATCCAGAGTCTAGAGCTTGTAAGGTCGCATAGTACATTGTGTCGTAGTCGTGCAGGAAGGTCAAGCTTTTGCTTGTCGTTGCTTCGTCGCTTGTTGCTTCGACAAAGGTTGCGTCAGGATGGGTTTGCCACCTCAAGCTTCTGACAAAAATAGGAACCATTTTTGTAGCTCTTGCAGCTACCCCTATAGTAACCCTTACAGCTACCCTTATAGTAACCCTCAAGGGCACCTTAACGGTTTGAGCGCCAGTCTTTTTTGGGAAAACCGCAGCACGCCTCCTGCACAGGCATCCGCAGCGCTGCTGCGGCTGGCGGCATTGGCGGTAAGCCGGCACATGGCCATGAAGGTCCTTTAATAGGGCTTAGAGTTTGTGGGCGTCAGAGGTGGTAACATCAAGCAACCCTAAATCACGTTGAGACCCTGAGCCCATTACGGTGTAGGGTTTGGGGTTCAAGCCCTACATGCTATGCCCCTGCATCCTAAACCCTAAACTCCTAGTCCCTAAACCCCGCAACCCCTCAACCCTAAACCCAAAACCGTAAACCCTTAGAGACCCTAAACCCCTCAACCCCTCACCCGAAAAGTCAAAGCCGGCTGTGAGTTCCCAGGCACAGGAAAGCCATCGCCAACTCCCAGAAAGCGGTGCAGGCAGCAATCGCCACACCTGGGTAGTTCCGAAAAGACGAGCCCCAGCAACTGCCATTAAGGGTGTAGGGTTTACTGGTTTAGAATGGGCTTTCAATGCAACAAGAAGAGCAAGAAACGAGAGCGAGGACAATGATCTCAAGAAGACTGACCTCAACAATGATAGGGAGAAGAGTGGTCTTAACTATCATGATATGACTCATGGTGAAGGATGATGATCATCATGGCACGGCTATCAGCAGAAACAACAAGCATGCAAATAGTCACTGCTATCAGATGTAACAAGGAATGGTAGTACTTACCAGGGGATACCATTACTAATGATTACTAATGGGGATTCTGAGGGGACACCACTACTTACTCCTGAACCCTGACAAACCCTGCAAGCCCCTACAAAGCATAATTTAGAAGCCGGGGTCTGCAGCTCACCACCGACGGCTCTTCGGCCGCTGCCAAAAGCAGAGAAGCATGTGCCCAACGATTGCCTCGGTGGCGGTGCGGACGTCGGGCTCAATAGATTACTGCTTCTATTAGGTCGGTTAGGTCTTACAGTTTCGGGTTCAGGTCTAATAAGTGGCAATTAGGGCTACGGGTCTAAATGCACATGATTTGAAGTTAAGGTTTTAGGGCTCAATAAATTAAGGTTTCGGGTCTAGTACTCCAACATTCAGGCTTAAGGGCTTCGCAGCTTAGGGTTAGGGTTTGCGTCTAGTAAGTCAGGGTGCAATCTAGGGCTTAGGCTGGTTTAGGGTTCAGGGCTTTGGGTTTCTGGTTTAGGGTTTAGGGTCGCAACTTCCTGGGCCAATTACCTTCCAAGCTTGAAGCACGATTTGCAGGGTCGGGGACACGAAGCATCAGCTCTCCCGCAGAAACAGCCACCGCTTGATGGTTCCTTGAGAATTCCTGTATGGGTTCCTTTAAAAGGTTCTTCAAGGGTGCAAAGGGTTCTTGAAGCT